TTGCTCAGATACAGGATTCAAAAAAAGAACCATCAGAAAGCCAGTGGTTGCTGTGGAGGGGTTTTTGGAAGGCGAGAAGTTTTTTTAAGCCGCGAGGAAAAATTTTCCGATCGTTAACTCTTTGTTTTGTGCGCGCTATATCTGCCTCCTTAGTCTGCGGTGCCAAAGCTTTTGTGCGACCCGTATCGAATTACCCTATTTTCAGACATTCGGTAGAAGTTGATGAGTTTGGGAACGTGGTATGTTGGTCGTGGGATGGGCCTTTCAGAGGAGGATTTCTCTGGGGCCGTAGTGACAGCGCGACGCCCATTACTAATGTTGTATCCTGCTCAGACAAGCTAAGTTCCAGAGAATTGCGATTCAGCGAGAAGCTAGCAGAAATTGTACTAAATACAACTCCTAGACGATGACACAAGGATGGTTAGGATCAAAGCGACGCCCAGCTATACACTACAGTAATTCAGTTTTGGCCTTGGGCTGTTTCATATTTTAAATTGACCAAAGCGGTGACAGGCTTGAGTGAAACCACTTGGTAGCGACACACAGAAACTAAAATTTTCTAGCCGGCTGATTCAATATATGGCAACGATTTCATTTTGTACGAATAAAGCCTGGCGTTAATGCGGCCCTACTCCTACCCTTACTAGAACGATACGAGAAAGGAAAATCGTTAGTTTCAGGGAAAAATCCTTGCATGCAATGGAAAAAAGTATAAAACACTCAAACGGTGACCAGAGAAGAAACTAGTACAAACCCTTGATGATTCGCTGTCACACGATCCTTTGGCATATTTACACTCGTAACAGGACCAGCCTGAACCATCAGCTCCCACAGTACATTCTCCGTAACTTTCTCGTCCAGGCCTCCGACATAAATAGTAGCATCTGAAACAAGCAATTAAAAAGCTATTTCGGTAATTTGGTTAAGGCATTCAGAACCACAACCATTTTCGCACATGGGAATAGGTTTACCTAAGCCTGAGCTTCTCCCACCAAGGCTTAGTCAACAATCCCTAGCTCACAATCATTCACTTTTCGCGCTAAATGCGCCAATATAGCCCACCTAAACTGGACCCGAGCCAAGAGTCAAAGCAAAAACCATGTGAGCAGTTGCAGTGACTTCGTGGAATAGGACGGTTTCTTTAGTAAAACGAAGAAAATGGAAGCTTTTCCGAAATTGTAAATAGTACCTTACCTTGGTTACGTTCAATGATAGGCCCAGCTGACATGATGAGCAGAAGATCAGTTCTTACCCACCACACTAAAAACGTAGACTTAAAATTATGGTTGCAGTTTAGAAATAAGAAAGCGTTCAGATAAGCCAAGGCAATACCCATATCAATGCGACGAGTAAGGAACCATTTACACTTGTAATTCTGTACATACTGTACAAAGAGAAGTCAGGCAAAGGGTTGAGATCAAAAAATTTTACAACATGACTTTCAAAATTCGTGTAATTTTCAACAATGTCAGCATCTAAAACAATACCCTTAACAACACAAATTGTTACAAATATCAATGAAGATACAGAAATCACTCCACAGCTTCATCAGATGCTTCGTCTGCCTCCTCGGAATCAAAGTCCAGAAAATTCAGAAACTTCTTATGTAATATTTCTTCGCCATGTTCATTCCATTCTTCTCGCGTAACAAAAAGCTGATCTTCTTCAGCCATGTCACCGGAAAATGCTGCGGAAGCACACGACCACGCGTGGGTGATCGGGTTGGTGACGTCAGCAAGAGCCACGCACCAGTCAACGTCCATGTATGATCGAAGCTCAGATTGGCTGTAACGCAAAATGCATTGGAACAATGGATCACCAGAGTGTGTTCACAGTCTGCGCCAGCGTTTTGAGCGACTAGGAGTCATAGGTATCGATCTAGCGTTTTAAAGGTACGCCAGAGTTTTCGCACGCAGGCGCTAAAAACGATGGCGCACGCTCAAAACGCTAAATCGATATATACACTTTCCTAGTCGCTCAAAGCTGCAGTACGCTAGATCAATACCTATGCTTTACTAGGAGCCCAAAACACTGATGCAAAATATGAAACTTTTTGTTGCCGCTCTTTTCGAAATTCAACCTGGAATTTCATCGAAATACTTCTCCTGAGGTACATTTGGCTGCAGCTTCCTTCCCAAAGGAAACTTCAGCTCCTCAGCACAAATATCACATCTGCTTGACGAAAAAGCCACGCTGTATTAAAGAAAAACACCTCAAGTCACCAATTTCTCTGGAAGCTTGCCCCTGGGAACAGAGGGGGAGGGTAAGTAAACTGGCTACTTGAATCAAGTACGTTCAGCATGAAAACGTTTCAAGCGTCCCCGCTTCTGGAGCATCAGTGCCGAATTAGGTCCGACGCGCCGGCGTCGTTGCGCCAAGTAGATGAGATATTCGAGCTCAATTAGTCAAACCTCCCACCAAATTACTGGCCAAATCCACCCACAGGAACTATGTTCGAGAAAAATGAAGCAGAAACTTGCACAGGAGGAAGGACAGTAGAAACAAACTGTTTTTTTTCGTCCTGTTCAAATGGACGAGGTACACTTCGGCCAATCCGATCCTCGCCTTGATAGAAACCACAACAAAATATATTATTCGTCATGAATTTTTGAAAACTACGGATTCCCTCCCCTCTATCCTCGCTATTAGACCAATTAGTGAGTTTCGGGGAGCAATTTGACAGAAACCCCGTCTGAAAAAGAAATCAAGGTTGCGTTCACACTTTCGTCGGTGTTCCGAGCTTCTTGGGAGGAAAGAAAAGTATAGGTACCGATTTAGCAATCTGAGTGGAACGCTTGTAACGCTCAAAAGTCTTCCAAAACGCTAGATCGATACCTACACTTCGCACGAAACGCCCGCCCAAAATGCCGACGAAAAGTATGAACGCAACCCAAAAGAAAATTCTATCCAAGAGAAATCCTCACAATCGATCACGGAATCCGGGGAAGAGAGTACATCCTCCTACGAGAGATATATTCTGCACCAATGCTGGTCGTAGATTCACAGGACATCGGGACAATGATTCAACGACAGCTTCTACCACTCCCATTTGATTAAGTCCTATATCCGATGGGCTGAAAAATAATATGTGATTTCAAGAAAGAAAACTGAAACTGCTAACAAGTATATGCTCTGGAAAATAAGAAGAAAAACAAACTGGAAGAGAATCTCCGGCAGAGCAAAGCGTTCTCTATTTATAGTTATATGTTGCGGAGTATCTTCTGGAAGCGAGAACTTCCCCATGTTAGACGGTTCCCTCAAATAACCACGAAATAATCGACAAAAATCTGGCAGCACGTATTCACGGCGTATCGTGTTGCGAGCATCGCGATATCTGGAAAGAATTTCGAGTGAATTCTTGAAATATCAAAGAAATATTAAAAAAAACAAGAAACCTATGGACATAAGCGAGGACCTTGGAAGAGAAGA